AGCCCGGACCGGTACGGGCCCGGGCCTCGCCCTCAGGGAGCCGTCCGCGCTCTAAGTCCCGGAGGCCCAGAAAGACCTGGTCGTGCTGCGCACCGGAGAAGCATCCCGGGCGTCGAACCGCCCCGAGACTCGGCCGACAAAAGGTTGGATTGAGGGCTTTATTTCAATAGATTGCAGCGACGGAGCTGCTCTGCTACGCATAAAACCCTGACCCAGAATCAGGTCGTCTGTAAGTCATTTAGCACCGCAACACAGTGAAACGTGCAGCGCGTGGTCAGTGGGACGCAACTGCCCTCGAGGCACGCCCCATACCAGGTCACGTACGTTTCTCCGCACCGGCCCGGAGGCCGGCTACCCTAACTATCTGAGGAGTCGCAGCGCTCCGGTATCGTCACGTCTAGGTCAGTGGCCCACCTCCTCCTCGGAGGGCCGCGGAGGCTCACTGACTCAGGGGCGACGGGCCGCCGGTTCCGGAGAGCAGACGTGGCCCGCCCGTGTCCGACGCGTCGCCTGCGCTGGAGCTCCGCCCGCAGTCCCACCCACGAACAGCTCCGCCAAGGCGGCCCGTGCGCACGTGACGCGGATGCGGACAACCAGGAAGAACGGGTTCCACCGGCAGCCGATCCGCGCCTCGTGCGGGCGCTCGACGGAGAAGCCGCCCCTCGTGCGCCGGCACGGAGACCGGCATCGAGGAGGGAGGGAAGACGGAAACAGAGGCATCGCGGACGACGGAGGTACGGTCCCGGACGGTACCGGACGCCTGCGCGCCGGGTGACCCGACATGTCTGCACTTGGGGGGACGAAGGCGCGAGGGGCAAGCCCCTCTACCTGCGACGCCCCAGATGCGGACACGGCGAGCCGTGTCCGATTGATGACCAAGCGACCCTCAGACAGGCGTAGCCCCAGGACGGACCCGGGGCCGCAAGGTGTTTTCGAAGTGTATCGATGATCAATGTGTCCTGCAAATCACATTAGTTCTCGCAGCTAGCTGCGTCCTTCATCGACTCACGAGCAGAGTGATCCATCGCTAAGAGTTGTCTGAGATGTTTGAGGTTGACAGGGATCGTAGAGAGGGGTTTAACTGGGGCATCCCACCTCCCGGGCACTCCCCTCCGCGCCGGGACGCGGGGAGGAGGTATTGAGCCCCTCTCCCCCTCCAGGCTGAGGGGGAGAGTGAGGGCACCCGCGGAGGCGCGCGGCGTTCGGCCGGACCGGAGACCGCTCGCCGCCCTCGGAACCTTAAGCGAGCGC